GGAACCAGCCGGAAGCCAGTCTATTGAACATGGCCACCATTTAGCAGCCCTGCTCGAAATCTAGCTGTATCAAGTGAAACCAGAGTCGGCAGTCGCGTTTGCTGATCGAACATGCAGCTCCACACCAGAGAGGAACTCAACTTTGATTCAACACCAACTAATCTTTTATCGGCTAACGGCAATCATGCGGCGATGGTATTTGGCAAACACTGCAAATAGTGACTCCGATTAACATCAAAAACCGATCCCATGTTTTCAATCAGGTAAACTCCACGAATCGCAAAATATATTCTCATGTGCATCTTATGTTATTGGAGCACATCCATATTTCACACGGGACACAGCTGAGATAGCAATCAAGCCTTTGCCAAAGCTGCCACAAGCCCGACCTGGAAAACACAGGCATGCGTGCACACACGCAAACACAAATGCACGTGCACACACACACACACACTCCATAGCTCCTGCCTGAGACAAGTAGCTGCCTGTGAAGGCCAAGCCTAAGGCTTGCTTGGCTCTTTGAAGGTACGTCAAGTTCCCTCTCAAGCCAGCAAAGCACAATGTACAGTGCATTGTCACCTTTAGGTTTACTCGCCTTGCTTTGAAAGGTTCGTGTACGCAACTTCCCTGCAACTTGAGTTTGTTGTCTTCAACTCAAACTAAGTAAGGAAAGCCATTACAGCCTCCCCCTTCTTTCCGGAAAGACGCTCCGACCCTCCTACAAACGCCGGCGAGAAGGCTCTAAGGACCATTTCAATGGGGTTGGGGGGTTCGCGCTTTCTGCTACCCGTCATGGACATGGGACGATCCGGGAGTCCCCGTGGCATATTGGGGTTGTCCCATTTTTTTTTGCCCGGGATTGGGTCCTTGGGTCGCACTCGCGCGGCGCTTGCGCGGACTTGCGCGCGCACACGCGCGCACAGTGACGCAGAAACTAGATTTCGTTGACCTCGGCTTGCGAAGCTTTCGCGTGGATTGCGTGCAAGCTTTTCTAGGCAGTGTGTTTGTCGTTCAAAAACCAATCCACCCAGCAGAAAGGACAGCAGGCTCTGCCACACAGCTTGGACACAGCCTGAAAGAAGGAAAGTGCATGGTGCAGCGTGCGGCTTGCCCGGATTTTGTCGTGCCAGTTGCAGATTG